ATATAAAGACCTTTTATTACTGAAAATTTCAAAGAAATTCATTGAATAGTTTTCGAGAAATCGCGTGCACAAAATTTTGTCTAAAAAAAAAGAATAATAATAATAATAAGAAACAATAGAATCACTATAACGTCTTCCGTGGAGACGGAAGACCTTAATAATAATAAGAAAAGTGAAAAATCAACAATAGAATAATAGAAGGGTCTTCCGCAGAAGACGGAAGACCCTAAAAATAGTGGAAAAGAAACCTAAGAATAACAGTAAGGTCTTCCGCTGAAGTCGGAAGACCTTAATAATAATAAGAAACAGTAGAATCACTATAAGGGCTTCCGTGAAGACGGAAGACCTTAACTAGACCAAGTAATCCGATGCAAATGAAGGTAGTTAATTAAATGTTTAGGAATAAATAGGAATAAAAGCATGTGTTCTTTTGTTTGTTATGGAATGTAGTGTCTTCCCACAAATTAATAAATTCATCTTTTGTTTTGAGAATGTAGTACTTTTGGAAAGATATGTATTTTTAAAAAGTAACTTTTATGGAGAAAAACATAAATTGTGTTTGAGTATTTAGTGTCAGAATTTAGCACAAAATACATGTATTGTTACAGTGAAAGAATTCAATTTGTCACCCAAGATTTTCTTCTTTATTCAATGTAAAACAGTTTTTGTACAGGTGAAAAAAAGACTTTCTTTTACAAACATTGACATGTCCAACTAATGGATTCCTATTGTATTTTAGTAAATAATTTTCCTATGAGCTTTTAGAGTCAGATGTTCAATAAGCATGATAATCAAATAATTACGTAATAGTGTTAATCTCTTTTGTGATTTTGTCTTTTTGGTTAAGAAGGCCTAAGGGTCTGAGGTCAAGCACAGGTGTTCAAATTTACTCAATTACTGTGGCGGTCATTTTTTATGTCAAATGATCACTCCGTTTAATTAATATTCTTTATTCGGAAAATTTTCACAACTTTTGGCTATTCACTAAAGAAATACTAAATTTTGATTGGCTGAAATCCTGTAATCCAAAGACGCGGAATCGTAGGTGAAAATGCACCCTAGCTCGGTCACTTTCATCGACGATTCCGAGAAATAAACTTCAGTTAATTAAAAATATATTTTCTTTATTCTTTGGATATTTACAGGTATGTAAATCATATATTTTTCAGTTAATTGATTCATTTTCCATTAAAGCAATTCTGTCTATTTCATAAATAATTTTGAAAAATATTAAGTATTCTATTGATTAAGTATTTTTATTTATTTCTTTTTTTTCTAAATTTGAGCTTTGAATTAAGTTTCCTTTAAAGATTTTATTGTTGCATAATCTTTATGCATAGTGACCTCATTTAGTCTTTTATAGTTTATAGTTGCATGTTTTATTGTAATAAATGGGTTTAGCGACAGTCTCAAGTAAAGTGCATTGTTCTTAGAAAAGTTATTTGTAATTTAGCGCCATTATATTCATTTTGCGTTCTTTAATGTAAGGAGGTAAAAATGTTATTTGTTTATGTTTAAAAACGCTGGAAAAGTAAAATGACTTTAGAGTTAAAATCGTAAGTAAACAAGCTTTTGATTGTTAAGATTAATGTTAGATTTAAATACTTTCTAGTTCAGTCTATTTGTAATTTTAGTTCTTTATTGATCAAAGTCAAGAGATGCGTGTATAGCGTTGATAAGGATCGTTTCGAATTTTCTCTGTGTATGAATTAGAACCTTGAGACTGTCAGCTGTACTGATGTGTAGTTTAGGTTTATTTTTGGTATCTACGTTGTGTTAAAATGTCACGTCACAGAGGGATTTTTCTCAAATTGTTTAACCCTCTGTACAGTCACCTGATCTAACTTTAAAACGTATTTTTATAATATTTTGAATTAATTGTGTAACTGGTGACTGTTTGTTTATAAGCATTACATTACACTTTCATCGACGATTCCGAGAAATAAACTTCAGTTAATTAAAAATATATTTTCTTTATTCTTTGGATATTTACAGCCACCGTAGAGGACAGACCAAATACTGCCCACGAGTAGAGCAAATCCAAATACGGAGTAAAGAATTTACAAAGCGAGTGATTCCCCAAATTAATATATATATAACAAGTTCACGTATAACCCCAAAAGAACAACGTGACAGTAGTAATCAGTATTGAATAGACTGAGAAACCCGATTGGTGTATAATACAAATGCAGATTTTCGGTTTAAAAAAATATTTGAGTTGGTCTATATTTGGAATGCATTGAGTTAATCATTCAGAGGCTATGATGCATGAGAACTGCAGTGTCGAGACTTTGTTTACAAATATATGAAAATTCGGATCGGGTTCGGATGTGACCGAATATCTTGAAATAATAGGTAAGATTAACATAAGCATCTCTTTGTGGATGGAATTAAATGTAAGTAGCATAAATTAAAATTTCAGATATGCATTTTAGGAAGAAAAAGGTGTCAATGAGAGCGTGAAAATTTATTTGTTAGGAAAAAATCGCTGTTTCCGACATTCATTCGATTAATATTAATTCTAAATAAAATTTAAATAAATTCTACATACTAAATAAATCAAGAATGCTTGGTATTAAAATATCATATCGTATCAAGAGAATTAACTACTAATAATAACTGAAGAAATAACCGAGAAAAGATTTAATTAATTTTTATGTTCATCGGCACCATAATTTCAGATACAAAAAAAGATGAAGTGTTTGCCGTTAACATTCATAGTTTCTATATACTTTACAGATTACCCGTCAAACTTTCTAGAAACTTTTTCTTCAGGTGTCTTCTGCAAAACCCTTAAATTCTATGTCGATGCGAGGTGTTGTATGAGATTTACAGAAATATTCTAGGCTGATACTGATCTGATATTTTTTTTTGGGGGGGGGGGGGAGGAGTAAATTAATTATTGATTCTGACCTTTTGGTCAAAGGTCAAGGTTATCAAAGTTCAAGGTAAAAATCAAAGGTCAAGGTCATTGAGAAAATCCCGGAAATAACTCTTTACTTTCTATGTTTTTTTTAACTTCATCATGACAGAAATTACTCCAAACAAATAAAATGTTCATTCTACACCTAAATTATTCACAACTGATCATCCCTAAAAGTTTCCATGAATAACTACTCATGTTTGAGACAACTTCCATTTTTCGGCTGGCACTTCCAGTGAAAATAATTTGCATGGTTATAGTCTATCTAACATCTGCATTAGCCAAACATTTCTGTAAAAAGAAAAAAAAAACTTGGAAAATTAACTTTTTTGCATCGCTTCCGGTCGCGACCGAAAGTGACGGCAACGTACGATTTTCACATGACGTAGAAAACTGGTGACTGACTATCAGTCCTGAAAGTTTTAGACTTCAGTCCTTTTCTGGTGCTGAGCAATAAGGTGAACAAAATCTCATTTTGAGGGCAGGAAAATACGCGACCGAAAGTGAATTTTACCAAGATGTTTGACGTCACTCTAGACATCTGCAGTCTCAATAACATACACAAAAACATTTAAAGAACTCTATCTATAAGCGATATGTATGGGAAAATTAAAAACTCCTATTATGTAGTTTTTCTCTTATAACCGGAAGTTGTCTTTTTTGTTTCGGGTGGTACCAACACACATCGAAACTGTGAAAAAGATATAATTATGTGATGCAAGTCTTATTCAAAAAGAGAAAAGTTGAAATTTTTGATTTCTTTTGATCACTTCCTGTGTTGACCGGAAGTAACGGCTGATGCTTTTAACCCTATGTGTTTTGCCTCCTCACCAAGTTTTATTACTCCTATAAGTCTAGTGTCTTAATCTCATGCCGTTTCCGAGATCTCTCTGAAATAAGTTTTCATTTTGAGGACAAGAAAACAGGCGACCGGAAGTGAATTTTACTAAGATATTTCACGTCACTCTAGACATCTGCAGTCTCAATAACATATATTAAAATCATTTAAAGAACTCTATCTATAGGCGATATGTATGGGAAAATTAAAAACCCTATTATGTAGTTTTTCTCTTATAACCGGAAGTTGTCGTTTTTTGTTTCTGGTGAGACCAACACATATCATAACTGTGAAAAAGATACAATTATATGATGCAAGTCTTATTCCAAAAGAGAAAAGTTGAAATTTTTGATTTCTTTGATCACTTCCTGTGACGACCGGAAGTGACGGCTGACACTCTTAACCCAAACGGTTTTGTCTACTCCTCAAGGTCTAATACTCCTATAAGTTTGGTGTCTAAATCTCTCACCGTTTCTGAGATATCACTGGGACAATTTCTCAATTTGCGGACATTTAAATGCGCGACCGGAAGTGAATTTTACAAAGATATTTGACGTTACTCTAGACATTTGCAGTCTTTATAACATATTTAAAAATCAGTTCAAATACTTTATCTATAAAAAATATTTATGAGAAAGTAAAATACTCAAATTATGCAGTTTTTCGCTTAGAGCCGGAAGTTGACGTTTTTGTTTCCGGTGGGACCATCATATTTCGAATCTACAAATAAGATGCAATAATGTGATGAAAGAAAAAAATCAAAAAACAAAAGTTGAAAATTTCGATTTCTTTAATCACTTCCTGTGACGACCGGAAGTGACGGCTGACGCTCTTAACCCAAATGGATTTGCCTACTCCTCAAGATCTATTACTCATATAAGTTTGGTGTCTTAATATCTTACTGTTTCTGAGATATGACTCGGACAAAATATTTCTGAAAAAAACGGAAATCGGACATATCTGACGACCGGAAGTGACTTTTGAAAAAAATGAAAGATACATTTGTAGGTATTTTCATTCTCTATTATCCCTAAAAATTTCAAGAAAATCCGTCCAGCCGTCTCTGAGAAATCGTCCGAAAAGAAAAGGGGAAAAAAATAATAATAATAAAAAGAAAAAGACACAGTAGAATCACTATAAGGTCTTCCGTCTGAAACGGAAGACCTTAATGATAATAAGAAACAGTAGAATCACTATAAGGTCTTCCGTGAAGACGGAAGACCTTAACTAAACACTTACTTTCTTTCTTTGGCTTTACTTGTAAAACTGTAACATTATATGGAACTGTTTTGCTTGCAATAAGAAGTTTCCCAATAGCTTGAACTGTCAAATTCTTCAGGCCTTCTCCCAAATTTATTCGTGTAATGCTGGCACTTAAAATATCTTGGCCAATAGGAAATGACATTTTCTCCTCCAATTTATTGTCATTGCCATAAAAGAGGATCTGCAAAGAATGATTATTTTTTGCATACACTTTGAAATAAATTGAATGAAAATGATAAATATCTACAGAAGTAAACATGTACGTAGGAAAAAAGAATGCTGAGAGAGAGAGAGAGAGAGATGAAGGCTTGGGACAAAGAGGGAATTTTTGACACCTTTTAAACATTTCAAAGTTATTGTAATCTATTAACTTTACCATTAATTGTATTGAGTTACTATGAGATAAATCACGAATTAACGAGTTCTGTTATGAAATTGACTTATATTACCCTATATTGCTCTATCCCTACATAATCCTCAAATCCACTCCACTGTATCCTGACATTGTCTGCAATGCTCTGGTAATGGTCCTTTCCGGGATACTCTGTTAGAGATAAGGACATGATGTCAACAGTGGCGTGCTGGATGGAAGGTGGACGATTAGATATTTTAACCCCATTTGATGACTTGGAATTCGACAATCCTCCATTGTTGTGACAGCGAATGGAAGAGAATATTGTCTTGTTTTCCAAAAGACTGTAATCAAACTCTTTGTATCCAGTTGTTTGGCCATTTGTTAGCCGTTCAAAGCCTTGAAGTTCAATTCCCTGAGGTTGGTACCCTGCGATTCATATTTTTTATTCTAAGTACGATATACAGTGTAATAGGTTATTTTTATGGTCAAAGCCAAAGGACAAAATGCGATTTATTGTGATTTGACTGAACCACAAAAATACATCTCCAGAATTTACCCTCTTTCTATGGTAATTCATTTAGATAAAATGAAATAATACAATTTCTATCAAAACAGATTATACAACAATGCATGTTCTATCTGTTTAAATATTTTCACGATATTTTTCTCAAAAATGGAGCAAAAGGTACCTATTGCCCATTCACAGAAATCGATCCCAGACTCTTCGTCTACCGCATTAAAATTGACAGATACCTCATTATCCGTCCATGCCTCTTGATCTTCATCTATAATGAAAAATTAATCTTTGTTCATTATGTTCTCCAATTAGAGGATGAAGACTTTTCCCCATTGCTATATAATTACTCTTACTTGAAAGATCACCATCATAAACGTTGACAATATTTGGGGGAGTAAGATCAACTAATACGGGTTCCGAGTATGATATTCCTTGAAGACCTGCGATGTTAGAGGCAACAGCAGTGACGTGAATGTACGTGTTGTGAACAAGAGTAACGTTAGCATTATATGCAAAATTATTCAGTCCTGCGCTTTTAAACCCCTGTATTTGGGTTCCTCCCTTTGTATAACCTACAAATAATCCACATACATTGTACCAGTATATTATTTAGAAATATTAACCACACTGTAAAGTTGGATATCTGTTGTCAAATCTTTAAATTACACTTACCAATTGCCCATTTATACTCTTTGATAGCACTCACATCTTCTACAAAGCTCCATGATCCGTGAATTGAACCCCATTCATGAAGATACACCACATGTGCAGTTACATGCAAACCACTGGTTTTATTAACATGATTTCTTTCAACTCGTTGAAGGGATAAATCATCAATAAAGAGGCCAGTTTTTTCATCCATGCTGCCGATTTCCAAAGTAGCAGAAACATCGTTTGCAGTGAAATAAAACGTGTGTCTATGCCATGATACTATCTCTCTGTTTTTTGACTTTCCATGGCCGTCATGGCGATAGGCTTTCGTGTACAGCAAAAACACGTGCTTTGCTTTACCAACTTTTATAAATCCTTCTTTATTTGATAATCTCGAGGCAGATATCAATAGGTGACTAGTGTAAAAATTTATCCTGTAAAGTTCACCGACATTGAGATTATCGATTCTTTGCTTGATGCTTCCTCTTATAAATAAGAATGATCTTCCATTCCTTGCCAAATTTCTAGCTGAAGACACAACTGCTGTGCAACTACCTGATGTTAGATTCCAAAGCTGTGGATAAAAATCCGGAACTAAGGAACAAATGTTTGTTTTGTTGACATTATCAATAGATAAGGTTTTATGTGAATCTTCAAAAGAAGGGTTTTCTGCAATGTTTTCATCTACATGGAAGAGATATTGCGGCTGTGGTGGCGTAGTGTCAATCATTATTCCATTTGATACAACGGTATTTGACTTGGAATTTACATTGTCAACAGCGTACACCTTGCTGTAGAGAACATCCCCTGCAATGAAAATTCTGTATGAATTGCTGAGAGAGAAATCGAAAGATAGATAAATGGAGGAGATAAGGAGAGAAAGATATAAGACAATACATACCATCAGTTAAATTAACCAAAATCTTTCTCGATGCAGCTGTATGCATGCCTAAATTTTGCCACTTTAGAACACTGCACTCTATTTTTGAATGGTCTTCGTTCACTTCAGGGGATTTTCCTACACACCAAAAGTACTGAACAATGCCAGAGCCAGTATCGGAAAACCCATGCCATCTTGCCCCCACAACTTTGGACGTGTTCTGATATTCCAAGTCATGGATACCTGTGTGACCACGTATTTTAATGAAGTCACCAAACCTTATACAAATGCTACATATACTAATATAAAAGATGAATGGAATTAGACTTTATACCTATTCCGTCGTAAATGACTCCTACGGAGGGTTTATTGTTATCCGTCTTAAATCCGTCAGATGACTCAGTGTGGTGAATACCAGAGAAGCCATAAGCGATGACATTGCTGAAGTACTGTACATCAGGTGCTAGCGAGATTCTTCTGACCCGGAAAGAGGTCTCTGCATTACTGAAATCTTTATCACTGTCCCATATATCATGTCCTAAAATCAATTACAACCATACTTACTAAGGACTAAGGAGTAAGACAATGTTAAAAATGAAAGTGTAAAAATAGCACATTTTTGATACTTTGGACATGTCTTTCCAAATCAATGCTGAGTGATCTTCAAATACATGTGTATCATAGAGTAAAAAGACAGGATAAAATTGAATACCTCCAGGACATGTACTTATATAAAGATGGAATGACTTAATGCATTGAGCTGCATCCAGAAATTTATTCTTCCAGTCTACCATAAATGAGACATCTTCCATAATGAAGTCTTGATCCTTTAGAACACTGTCCATCATTCTTTCTGTTATCTTCAGTCAAAATATCCAACATTAAATATTTGGAAGACGTAGAGAGATCTTTAATAAAATCGTCTGATACATTTTTTTCCAAATCTTAAAACCATGAACTGGTCTGTTTTATTTTTTGTATGCATAATTCGAAAGAAAAACAATATTTACCGAACTTCCAAGTATGTTTGTAACAGCAGGTTTTTCTGTCACTATGATAACTCCATCAGACTTGAAGATTGCATATGAATCATCACTATACCAGACCTTTACAAAAACTGAATACTTTATGTCTTCCTCTAACAAGAGTCCTGAAAATAGTTCATTGATTTGTCTTTACGTAAAATGATTTTATATCTCTGTTAGTGATGATGTTTTGATATAAATCATAGCTGCATAGCCGGTATGGTCTTCTTCCACTAGTAGAATTTAGATCCATAATTCTCTATCATGGGGGTATTTGTCGATTCTTAACTTCTTATGAAAGGAAGTTTGATTAAAACCACAAATAGGATCACATTAAATGATATTCACGAGTCTTTCTTCAAAAGCCTACCTGGTTTGGTGGAAAATATTGTAAAATCATTTTGCCCAGCATCGTGCCAGACACGCTCTAACTCTTTATGAAAGATCCCAGTTGGTGCATCATTTCTTGTTAAACCTACACTCCACTGGTACCTATTGTTCACATGAAAAATTACTAAAAGCATTGTGAAATTCACATTCTAGAATATAAACTTCAAATCTGGTAGAAGAAAACGAGGTGGAGATTTATATTAAGGCATTCCATCCCTAACAGCCTCAGATCAAATGAATTTGAATGCATAACAGATGTGTACGGGTGGAATGCTCGGTATATTTAGACATAATTCCCATTTATTACTATTAGCATGTAAGAATGGAACGTGTCCTAATTTATGACCTTGACCTTTGTTGAAGAGTTATCTCCCTCTTTTTTTAAGTAATAAAAATCAATTTAAAAAAAATCTATACAGTAAAAAAATGTTTACAATTGTTCTTCTATTTCTAATGATTTAATGCATCTTTCCACCACAGTATTTATTGATATTCTTATTATTTGAATTTTAAAAAAAAATCGCTTGTCTCCATAGACTTCAATGCAATTTCTGTTAATTAATTACTGCTTAGTTAATTACATATTTGAAACTTTCTCTTGGTAAATCCTTTTCTACTGTAAAATGCTTTGAATTAATATCAGAGTATTACATATGTGATGGGTATTTAAGGATAAGAGACTTAGGTCCTATTAGGGATGGAAAACCTTAATTAATACATGCCATTTTGGAGGGCGTCCTTGTCTGTGAACTATTTTCCATTTCCCACGTAACAAAGTGTTACTTGGCGTATAACCAATATCATTCTCGGTATCCATCACATCCAACACTTGAAGCAGGTTGTTTGTATTACCTGAATGTTTAAATTCACAAAATTAATTTTATGTTGAACCCATAAAGAAGTTCCGAAATGCCAGGAGCTTTCATAGATAAAAAGAAACTTACTCTTTGAGACATCGTTGCAAGAGGAACCATTGATATGGCAAACTTGATCTTGGGGTGCACAAACACAGTGACCTTCACATGTTGTAGCGCTACACCGTCTGACAAGGAACAAAGTCCCACCAGGAACTTTCAGGAATTGAGAATGAATTATGGCACTTGAAAGCCCGGCCTAAATTAAAAAAAAAACGATACAAAAAATGTACACTAACAGTTACGTCTTTCTTCAGTTTTTAGTCATAAATCATATCAATGAAATTAAGCTTAATAACAAAAGTAACAGATCAGAACCTTGTTGACCGCCCACATGCTAACAAACACATGCTTTATTTCTCCATCAAGTTTAATAGTCTTCATTCTGTACATCTGAACTTTCCCTTCATCTCTGTCCTCTCCCGTTATCGAGTGATTAACTCTCTGTGGAATGCCAGGCTCCTAAAGTTTAAACTTATGTTTGTTATTTTTTTTAAATCAACAAACTCATTTTGCAGACTTATTAACTAAAAGAATATTTTCAAAGTGTAGAAATCCTGGAAGTTGACTCAAAAATCGACTCGTTAGCTTACCTTAAAGATACAAATTAGTAAAATACGCAACACTTAAATCCTTACAGCGTTTAAATCTGCACCCAGGTATTGTGATCCGACGTTAATGAAGTAGTGAGTAACATCAGAATGACTGTCCGCAAATCCTAGCCAAGCCAGGTTAACTGCATACTTAGACCACGTCATTGAGCCTTCCACATGGCGATGGAGTTCAGCTGCGTGATCCGTCTTTATAGCAAACATGCCTAGGCGTGGAAAGAATAGTACGGTGCATTAACATAACAGTAAAATACGTGCTTTGAAGATAGGACATAACAATCAATAACCGAATGTTTAAATAGATTTTCCCTTTTCAAGATTTTTTTTATCCACCATTATACTTGAAAATTAATACCAAGTTCATAACCATCGAAGTTTACATGTATTTTGAGAAATAACTTAAACCAAACCTCTATTTGGTGGTGTACTATCCACTAAAATTCCAGATGATGTGCTTGAGGTACATATTTTAGCCCCATTACAGGATATGACAGTGACATAATAAGTTACACCGTCATGCAAGTTCAGTCTAGTGAGAACAAAGTCTCTAGCTATCCCGTTTACCTGACAAGAAACAAAGCATACAATCATTTATTTTGCTGCAGAAAAGAAAAAAAAAACTTGCGAAAGTAAATTTTTCGTGCCCCTTGACTCGTAATCAACACTTCCCATGCCTATACATAAGGTAAGGACCAAGAAACATCTTTTTAAAACTTTAAAATATACAATTGCCCTTCTCAAATCCACCGAGGAAGGAAAAAGGATTTTTAAAAACCTTCTTACACTGAATATGTCCATTTCACATGTTTCAATTTAGTAAGGAATTTTACAATGTGTATTTTCATACATTTCTGGTATTTTTTTTTCAATCAAAAGACATAAATAATACTTATAAAATTTCTTATAAAGTTGATTTTTTAACAAAATTTATCTTAAACCATACTTATTCTTTTTCATTCTTATCTTTTATGTATATCATACACTTCTTTAGGATAAAGATTAAGAATTCAATCTATCTGGAACCCGTACCACAGCTGAGGGAAGGTTAAAGTCTCCCCCAAGGTGAGACCTCAGGGAAACATACTGCTTTTCTATATGTGAATCTTTGTCAGAGACATCCCACTCAAGTTTCATCAACGTCCTGTAAAACTGTGTACTTCCGATTATTCCAAAATCTTTAGAGAATACCGGACCTCGTGAAATGACAGGCGGAGTATCGTCTATGATAAATCCATTAGATATCGCATCTCTGAACAAACCTTTATAATTTTAAAAGTGAAAGAATAGTAAATTTATTAAATAACAGACGATCTTAAGAAATGACATATTTCGTAATAAGATTTGGGTATTCACTGAGGTCTTTTTTTCTGTGGCATGAAACGAAGTTATTAACTTTTACAATGTGGTCCGACGCGTAATACCTGCTCTATTGAATGCCCTAACTGTAATGTAAATTCGTTTTCCAACAGGCATGCTAGGTGTTATGTTCAATGCAGTAGCCATCTCGGTGACGTGGATTTCTCTCTCTGTCATGATTTCGTTTCCGCCGGGTGTTATCCCCGCCCACCAAACAAAGTGAGCTAACCCTGTCTGAGGATCATTAAATCCATACCATCTGGCATCGATAAAATTTCTACAATATTGATCGAGGAGAGTTGAATTTTTATACTTTGAGATTAGCTCTTGTGTGCTTTCAAAAATATAGCATTTTCTACTTTATTTCCATGAATTCTATTTAGCAAGCAATTCATAATAAATTGAAAAAACCTAATTGATTGGTATTCAATATCCTCTAAAGTTGTTCCATCACTAACAACGCCCATGCTTGGAGGACTATTGTCCATAATAACTCCGTCTGATGTGGCTACTGTGCAGTATTCAGCGGTGTTACATGCCATCACTGTTGTGTAGTACGTTATACCAGGTCCAAAATGAACATAGCTGACTTCTAGTTCTTCAAAGCAAATATAAAAATGCAATATCTTTGTCCGTTTTCATACGCTGTGTTTTCAATACTTGTTCTCAAATATGCATGTATTGATTTTTCTAAATAAATGATATTATTTGATACCTGTCACCATTCCCACGGTTTGTTCTGTAATAACGTCATCACATTCGTAGCAAGTTCCAATACTGACTGTGTACTCTTTTATTGCTGAATGAGGATCAAAAAATCCTTCCCAGAAGACAAGTAAAGTTGACATGTCTGTCTGAAAATCTATATCTTGCTTGCTGGTTCCATTTGGTTGAAGGTCAAAAACATGACCTTTGACAGGTGGTGTGAAGTCCACACTGTATGCCCAAGAAGTAGCCATCGACACCAATCCTGCTTTGTTGAATGCCTTTAGCAAAATACCAGATTTATGACATCTTTCAAAATTATTCATTTCAGAAATATCGTATTATTTTGTTTTATACCTTTACAGAAATGTAATATGCATGTCCTTCTTTGATGTCGAGGTGATGCAGTTCATTATTTTCTGCACAATCTGATTCCACATATGTGAAATTCATTACGTCATCGTATCCAGCCTGGGAACCAATAGACCACTCGTAATAACTTATTTCACTTTCTGGATCATAGAAGACATTCTTCCAACTGTCAACAGAAGAAACTTTGCCAACAGATCATGAATTATACACAGTAAAGATAGAAATCAGTTGCTGTTATTCTGTATGTGCGTATATTGCAATTCGTTATGTTGTTTGAATCTGAAGCTCACCATGCTTCGATCTCAGTGTCTGAAGTAATGTGCCTGTCAGGAATGGTTACCGGTTTGTCTGACTTCAGTGGTGGAGTGTTATCGATAATAACAGGGGGTGAAGACTGGGTTGTGGTTCTATTGGCATAGTCCATGGCTACATTGAAAATAAAATAAGTTTATGTAAAAAAGATTTCACCTATTATGAATTATTGAGAAACCTTGTGATCTAAAATAAAAATGATGGATTCATGTTTGAGCATCTTTTTTTATGTAGCATTATGTAATATTTTACATATCTTCTATTTGTTTACCAATAACAGTGGCATAGTAGGTGCGTCCATTTACTAATGCCGTTCCATTTAAAGCCTTATGGTTAACGACTCCGACATCAAAGAAAGCGATGACATCATTTCCACCCTCAGACGTTCCTAGTAAACAGGGAAGATAAAAATATTTTATCAATGTTATATTAAAGTACTAGTGATTGAAGGGTGAGTTATATTGTGATTTAAAAATTTTCGTTGCACACCTATGCCTAGCTTGTAATTCTGAATTCCTGACGCATGCGATATTGTTTGAAATTCTTCTACATCTTGAAATGTTTCCCAGTTAACATATAAAACTGATGTCGAAGACTGAAAAACAAATAATAAAAAAAAATTATGTTTGTTGTCAATTGGATTGGATTGCTTTCTAATTTAGCTTTTAGTTTAGTTTAAATCGAATGAATTTTTAATGTATTTAAACAGGTAGTTAATATATAGGTCCTTATATGGGCCCTGATATAAATATATCTCTTTATATAAATATGTTTAGAAATGATCAGAACTTTAACAGAAATTTTACTGATAGAATAACCTGATACTCTAGTCCTTGTCTACTTCCAATCCACACTTTTCCTGCCACTGGAGGAGTGAGATCCACCACAACACCGTCACTACACTCGTTAACTTCTGGTAACACCTGTGTCCACTCTTCGTAGACAATCTCCGTATATTCAGTATGGATACAGACCAGATACCGCTGCCCATGTACCAGCTCCCCGGGCTCAAACTTAACATTAATAAACTCGTTCCCTAAAAGAAGAGACGATAAGTGACCATTTCAAGATATTCATAGAAATCATTTGAAAAGTAAAACCAGACAAACCTGTTGATGAGCACTTGATCGCGTCTGGATGACTACATGGATCGGACAGTGACAACTTGTTGGTAGGCAGGTAGTACGTGGTGACATCTACACTCTTGGCGTTCAGTACAGCAACTTTGTAGGATTTATAACGAAGTTTTGGCCAAACAGCAGAAATGTAATTCATATTTGGTGTGTAATCCGCATCAGGATGAGACCAGTAGGCATTGGTCTCCAAAATAATCGGTTCACCAAATCCATCTATTGACAAATTAATCATTTTATTTAGATTTTGAAAATTAAATATGTCTTATGTTACGAAAATTTTCACCATGCCATTGTAATCTCTCTCTCCTAAATATTCCTAGAAAAATTATTCAATCTTGCATGAATCTAATTATAATAAAGTTTATTTTGATAGTTAATAAACCCCATCCTTTGAAAAAAAAAGAATCTACCTTATTTTTTAAAGATTGAATTTCTTTTTCTAAAAGCACAATCTACATTTTCCCATCTTCTGAAGAAAATCGGAAAAAAACGAGGATGACAAATGTTTATCAAATTAAGAAGTTTTTCACTTCTTACTACCTCTGTGAGGATCTGGTTTTCCTACTGCATCTAGGACGATCTTTGGTTTGATTAACACAGGATCAAAAGCCTCACAGTCTCGTATGTGCGAATACACTGTAGAATACAGCTTCACTTTGTTATAACCACGGATGGCCAGTCCTCTACACTTAGAGAAATCAAACTGCCCATCCAGATCAAGAGTAAAGGACATCTGAAACAAAAAATACTAGCATTTGCTCGATATTTGGAAATTTGAAAAACAAATGCATTGCATTCGGAACGCTGAAACATGAAAAACTTCGAGGGAATCTGAATTTAAACATACTCTCTGCAGCATTTACTTTCGTTCATCACAAAGGAGATAATTTTCAAATGAGCAAAATAATATTTCGATACCATATAAATTACATATATATTTCATTTTCTACGTTAACACTTAGCAATGATCATTGAGAAAAATATTCATCAAATTATATCATTTAAATATTCTTTTGTCGTCTTTTTAGGAAATATATTTTCTATAAATATAAGACTATTATAGTCCACAGCAAAAATTCCATTTTCATTCACAAAATCAGGTATAGGATACCTCGGTTTTTGATAAAGATACAGTGAAGTTGTTCAGTTCAATCCATTTTGTATGAGTTCGTCCTATTTTAGACTGGTCAGTAATTGCCCATTCATATTTATCTACCACACTATATTTAATGCTATGGTCAGGAACATCTGGATCAAAGAACCTATCCATTTTGACTTCTAGCTGCAAAAAAAAAAGAAGAAGATAGAAATGTCGAAAATTTTGCTAAAATATTTTAGTCTTTACTGTTTACATTAGTTGATACTAATTGTTTTCTATTTAAAAACATTCTTTGGTGATTAGAAAAAAAATATTTTATGGTCAGTGGTGATAATCTTATATTAGACATTAAGAAGAAGCAGATGAAACACATAATTACTTATTTTTAATTTTTAAAGATGTTTATACCTATATTTTAAAAGCAATTTTATTCATGTGACAATACCTGTTCTTTTCCATTCGAAGTGTTGACATGTTTTACAACAATATTTCCAGACGTTGGAGGATTCGCGAGGATGCGAACGCCATCGCTGTACTGTGGTTCATAACAAATGTGTCGAGCACAGAGTTTAACCACGAAACGGTACTTTATTCCCGGATTAAGCACTAGGTTTGTGAACCTTACTTCTTGGTGGCCATGATTGTAGTAAAAATCTTTGAAAATAGTCCAGTTTGCTAAGAGAAAAAGAAAACAATAATTCTATATTGCAAAACCCCTTTTCCCTGAAAACAAAAAAGTTTCTCTATGAAACACTGCTCAATACTTTTTCCTCGAAGTGGAAAATATTTATTGCATGTGGTCATTATCTAACAATTATGACAAGAATATAAGGTTTTGCTGAATCGAAATCATCTCTTTTAGTAAAATATTGTTAATATGATACTCATAGAATAAATCTTTATCAATCTTGGATGTGTGCATTTACTGATGCATGAAAAATAAAAATAGTATTTGTCAATTAAAAAACAAACAAACAAACAAAATAAAAAAATGTTTTTAAAAATTGGAAAAGTTGTCATAAGACAGGTATACTTTCACATCAGTATTTGCTTCTAAATATACTCTCCTTTGTACCAGGGTAACGAGAGAAGAAGCCAAAATAGCTATTCTAGTATTAATGTAAATATTTTGAGCAGAGTGACACTATACGCAGATGACTTTTCAAACACATGGACTTCTTGTAGTTTTCGACCACTTACCGGTCCCCATGACGAAACGAAAATTTCAAAACCTTTATGCACTAGTTCAGGTCATCGCTTATCATATTCCAAGCATAAAAGAGGAGTGATGAAAACATGGTTTTGTAGAGAACAGATGAAAATGAAAATTTCTTAATCTTACTGCACATCTTCAGCACACAACCAATCATATATGGCCACTGTATAATTAAACTGTATGTGGAGTTCTGGTACCCATGGGAATTCCAATAAATTGTTGGAAGACCTACCGTATAGATATTGTCAATCAAAAAAACTCAAGCATCTTCTTAATGTCAACTTCAGAGTACTTGTGTGTACAATCAGAATGTTTTTTAACAAAATAATTTTGCAAATGACCAATGACAAGGTACATGTAAGTAAATTTACGAGTTCCATTTTTATTGAAAAAGCAGCTGTCAATGATATCAAAAAGCCTGGACTTTAATTTATCATGGGGAATGGTTGTGTATAAACTTAAAAAGGCGTAAGTTTTTAAGCTGTTGATTTTGGTAAAATCTTGTGATTTCAAATTTTCCAAAAGTTCCTTGGAATTTTTAAGTAACCACATCTGATTTACACCACTTCTCGAGTACATTGTTGCACAGTACTCTTGAAGTTTCTCCTTCACTACTGTTAATATCTTAGTGAGGAGTAAAGAAAGAGGCTTGGTTGAACATTTACTGGAACCCGCTATGTATCTTTGTAAGGATTTTTATGAAGTTTCAGAGTCCAATAACGTTTATTTTTATTTTTCTGCCCAAAATTGGTCTTTAAGCTACAAAAATCATGCTTTCAGAACTCCGCTTACATTTTAGGCAGCAATAAAATCATCTTTGGAATATGTTAATGGTGTCCTGAGCATGTTTAATAAGGTTTCGGAATTTTCATTTCAACATGGGGACCAATTAGGAGCCGAAAACGGCGTTTTCCCAATAAGGTTTTGGATTTTTCATCAAGGAGACAAAATGGACCCAATTCTTCATCTCTCAAACTGTCTTTTTCCAAAATTTCTGATAAAATAGAAAAAATGCTTCATTAAAATCTTGACTGTTCACGGTAGCTCAGTCGGTAGAGCGGTCGCTTCGTAATCGGGAGGTCGTGAGATCGAATCTCGGCCGCGACTGACCCAAGTCGATAAAAAATGGGTAGCAACTGTTCCTTCGCCATGCGCTCGGCACTTTGAAGTGAAAGTTGCGGGTCCTTCGGATGAGAACTTAAAAACCGAGGTTCCGTGTCACGGCAGGCGTTGGCACGATAAAGATCCCTCATTGCTCAATGGCCTTGAGTGCCGAGTAAAGGTCTAAATTTGAAGCCCTTCACCGGTATATGATGACGTCTCTATATGATTGAAAAGTTCTCGAATGGGACGTAAAACAACATACAATCAAATAATCAATCATTAAAATCTTTTATTGCAGACCGTGAGTGAATTTATGAATTTCTTACAAAAGAGGTCAATAGGCAAAATACCTCACTTTTTGCTCAATTTGATACAAGTACACGTATCAATATTTTAGAATAATTATTGTTGCTTCTTTGCTATGTTGAGATGCGATAGAGTATATTAAGGAACAAATACTTTCGTGCGGGTGGCATTGTCTTATGAAAGCACCTAGTTTTTTAATCATAAATGGACAGAAAAACCCTATGTTCTTCACGACCATGAAATATATGGAGATAACGAACAGTATTCAAGCTCAAAGTCCATTATACAATACAAAATAGGAGCAGAGCAAACACGGACCTCCAAACAACAGAGGTGGGATCAGGTGCCATGGAGGAGTGAGCATCCCCTGCCGACCGGTCACACCCGCCGTGTGCTCCTCGTCATGATCGGGAAATAACGGAAAAATCCGTCGACAATTCAGTGTGCAAATAATGGCCTAACAATTAGTATGAAAAACGTCAGTCAGCATTTGACTCAATGATAAAATGTATTTGCTGACAAGGTCATTGTATCGACCATCAATCTTGGAGGCATACTATCTATACAAATAAAAAGTTATGTTTGTCAATTTCAAAGTATTCACAATTTAGCACAAACAAAGGTCATGGTACTTTGACATTATTTGTGAATTAGTGTACTAATGATTGCCCGACTGGCGCAAAAACATGTACAAATATGGTGATTCTCAAGTTAACTTACTTCCATATGGAGAGAGTTCTTCGATTGCAATATGCATATCAGGTGCAAAACTTTGCCAATCTGAAGGGACATTCCAGTAAGCACTGAGCGTATCAATTGACGATTGGAAATCAACATCTTTCATGCATTTGAGGCGGTGGTCCTGTGAAAGAAATAATTAATTACATAGTCCCATGGCTTGATTACTAAGTACCTCAAGTACAAAGTGAAAATTGAAAGTTTATTCTTGACTGGTTTCTACTACGTCTTTATGTGAAGATCATGCAATGATTTTGAAATATGTTTTTGAAATTGTGTATAGCATTGTTTCTTTCGTGTCCTTAATCGTACACCCATAGTCGGAGATTTGGTTTCAATGTAATAAACGAAATTTGATTGTGAGAAGAAAAAAATAACAAAGAATTTCATACTTTTTTAACACAAAAAATTATTTCAACCTTTTTCAGTAAAACAAAATCTTTGCGAATATATAGTCTTATTTTTGAGATATCCTTCAAACTGGGTTCGAGGAAACATATTGGAATGATCTAGAAATTTTGGAAAGCCGTAATGTGGGGGTACCCTACGGCTTTCCATAAGAAATAAAGGTAAAAAAATGTTGTTTACCGAGCTGTTGGGACTATCAGCTTACATCGTAAATATATAAGAGGGTATAAAGTGATTTTATGAAAGATAATGTTTATACATGTAAGAGGGTCATTCAAAAAGTATGTAAAAAATGTTGCTCTTAGTCTTATTATTTTGAAGAAATTTAAGATCAATACATCATTATATATAAAAACATTTATTTTGTGGATATGTGCAGTTTTATTTTATTTTATTAAATAGAACTCATGTTAAAATCACTTAAAACCAACATGTTTTCAATGTCAATGTCTTCACTTTTTACCAGGTAAATTTTCACTGGTTCCGCAACTATGAATCACACATCCCTTTCCATGACATTTCTGACAGTTTTGACCAGATTTAAACTGATAACTCATTTTATTGGAAGCCGTTCATCCTCAAATACAGTCTCTATAACTTCTGTTTTGTGAAATTTCCTTTAACTATTGATATATTTCTGCTTCCTGCAGCTTTTCCCGATTTTTTAATTGAGATTTCCTGACTGAAACTCAAAATTGTATCTCTTAGTATCTCTTATCGCTGCTCCATGACGTCCTGCGACGTCGTCTTTTTGCGCTTTTTTTAGTAATGAAAATTTGTCTTCTGCACGTGTTTTCTTTTCAACGAAACAATACAGAACACCACAATTTAGCAAAAATGAAATGATGGGACTATCTAATTTGAATGTATGGCTTTTGTTTTAATGCTATTTTAAAGAGATTTTACTTCAGACGTTATACCGTATATACTCGTCTGTAAGTCGGTCCGCCTATAGTCGGTTGTATTTTTTAAGCTTAAATTAGAGGGATTAACCCGCTCAAATACCATCAAATTTCATAATTCGCGTATAAGTCAGATAAAGAGTTTTGGACCAAAGTTTAACTCCCAAAAAACGACTTATAGGCGAGTATATACGGTACACAGTATATTGCAATTACATTACTGAAATTCGACCTGCTCCAATTTTGCAATTTTAAATTTAAAATATTTTTGAAATAAATCAAGATATATTTAATTTTTAAACTTTTTGTTGAAAGTATTCTACCAAAGTTTGTTCAATATGACATTAAATCAAAAGATATGAAAAGTCTACGTATTATTTAATGACCCTCTATGCAGCTACTTACTTGTTTGAATAGTTGCAATGTACGGTGTTTATTAAAATAAGGAGTGCTCAATTGTACCTCGTAACATTTGATCAATCATTCCTTTGCAATTGATTCAGGCCCAACAGATTCATATAAAATATATGTATGTGTTTATAGTTGGACTCTAAATGTAATCCTAGCATACGATGGCAATATGAAGTCGTTTCTTACCAATTCGTGGTGGCTTAAAGTAACATTCTCCTCAACTGCAAGCATAAAAGCATACAAACACAATAATTATATAATATGAAATAATAAGGATCGAATTAAATTATTCAGCCAATTTAACTTTACGAGGCCGAATCTAATTATTTCTACCCTAGAGATTTTGATAAATTTTCTTGAATTGATTTTTACTATTATATTTATTGTTTTAAGATTTAAAAAAAAAAAAGAATAATTACCGTCCCGATTTCCAAGGGGGGCATCTCAAAAGTTGTCAAATTTTACTTTTGGACCCTATGGGAATGTGTTGAAAAAGCGAAAAATTATCACATTTTCCCCATATTTTTTGTATTTCTGCCCTAGAGATTTCTTTTTCAGCCAAGTACATGGAAGTTATTGTAAAAAAATCACTAAATTGTGAAATTTCAAAAAAGCTGACCATCTAGGTGGTGTAGGAATTATTACAAAGTTTATTTTTTCAATGCCTAATACCTCTAAAAATGCCATATTGCGGTGTATGTATATATCGGTGCAGATGAATTATTTTGGTAACAAATAGCAATGTTTAGATTGCTAGTATGTTTCTTTTGATGTTCTGTCAACAGTTTTTAGTCAAATATCCATTGACGACTTGAATATACAAGCGAGTCATGTGTCATTCTTCAGCGTCATGCATTGCTTACAAAATCGGAAAACAGTGACGTCTTTAAAGTCATTTCAGCGGTTTTTCCTAATTATTATCGTAAAAGCATTATTCCAGACCCATAAGTGTTACAGATAATGTTAATTTTGTATTTAAATCACAATATTTGGGAAAGGTGTAATGTTGCAAATATGACTGCATGAAATTAAAAAACTGCGCAAAGTCTTGCGCACTCGAATTAGACTCGGCCTCGTTAAATGCTAATGCAACAATTATATACTACCTGTATCGTCACACGGTTCACCATCATATAGGAATACACCAATAAGTGGCGAGTTTTCCCTTACGACAGTGACGCCGTCAGATGTTGCTTCCACGTAACCAGCAGATGACGTTGCAGTTATTGTAACATAATACGTCTGTTTAAAATTTAATTTTTAAACAATATTAGTGGAAGAAATTAAAGAATAATTTTTTCTACATAAATATTATATACAAATTTGTCTTTTGCTTATGTTACATTTATTCAATCAAAACTATATGATGTCTTTTTTCTATTACCAGTATCTTTCGATTGTTTGAGACAAATAGAGAATATTAATTCAATGTTTATATTGTTGGAAATGGCATTTATTTCACGAGCGGGACAGGATTTTTTGATATTTTCACGAGTGAAATAAGTTCCATATCTAATTACTACAACACATTGAATTTTCTGTTTATTACATTTTCTTTGATTTTCCCTTTTCCTCTGTTTTTTAATAAAACAGTGTTATAGGCTGTGACATCAGAGTTGAGCAGTTAAGACATCATAGTTTAGCAGTTATGAGATTTAAAATACTGTGACATGGATTTTAGCAACAAAGGTAATTTTAGTTTTTTTTTTCAAGATTGTTTAGTTACTATCTCTATCTTATTTTAGGCCAGAAATTATTTTTCACTTACTTTGATATCCTTTCACACTGTGACACAATATCACTTTTGTATGCTTTCACACAGTGAGAGAATATCACTTTTATTCAATAAACACAGAATTTCACTGTTGAAAATGTAATAATTTAACTGCTATATTAGTTCTATTAAGCTTTAAACAGGGAATTAAAGTAGTCTGAGACGTCTGCATTATTCAGTATAGTGTTTATGAAGACTCAAACCGTTGATTTGCTTTGATTTAATTAAACATTTATATTCAAAATCTTACCTTAAAATTATGAAGCGCAAGCCCAGTTGCTGTATATGTGGTATTTCTACCAACATCATTTTGTGGAAAAACGTCGCCGCCACCTGAAGTCGTTCCAGCTCGGATTTTGTAATCCACGTCAAGATAGGCGTGAAAAAATCCTGTCCAGTGAGCCGAAAGGCTAGAGGTTGTAGTTGTAAAGTCAATATCTTCTATATCCTAAGAACATATCGATAATACATTTGAAGATGTGAGGTCATGCCTTTTGATTATTCTTTATCTCTATTATTTGCTTGTATTTGGATTTGGTTTCTTTTCCTTTGACCTCGGTATTTGTAAATGACAGAAGATGACCTATTCTGATTATAATCTTTTAACAACATATAGGTAAATCAGAAGGTTTTCAAAAACTATCATCAAAGTTGATCGGGAGGGGGAGGGTTAGGAGGTCAAATTATGATTATCTTTTTGTAATCTAATTAAAATTGTATGTTATACTCACTACACTAACGTTAGTGTAGCAAGTATGCCAGCAGATCTAACATCTAATTCTAACTAGATTGACCTATTTGTAACTTAACAGAAAAAAACTCCAAATAGATACTGTATGGCACAGTATTTGTCAATCATTATCTTTAAAATGAGGTAAGAAACCTGATGAAAAAACCACTTAAAGAATTATAGGTCAAACTTAATTAGTAATAAACAAAATATAAAAAAAAAAATTGAATGACAAATATTTTTTAGTTCAGTGTCCTTTTCCTTAAATCACGAAAGAAATCAGGCTAAAACAGTTTGGGGAGTTTTTGTTTTTGTTTTTTTTTTAAATTGTTAAAAGACAAGCATATACCGGTAGAAAGACAGACAAAAAGGAACTTGAAAATGATCTGATAATATTGGAAAAACTTTAGATCCTTCTCACATGGGTCCAACTTAATGGTCTCAGCAGTGTCGTCTAGTTAAAACTCATGAGTTATAGAAACAAAAAAGTAATAAAGCCTCTAATTACTTACAAGAAACTGCACATTTTCAGCTGACTGAAATGAGAAGAAAAAATATTATTATAAAAATGATATAAAACATATTACCGCAATGCTTATTTTCTCTGAACTGTTTTCACGTTTTCAATACCTATTACCCCCCCCCCTTTTTTTTCTAACAACTCTGGTAGGTATTAGTTGAAGTGCTATTATACCAATTTTAAACTGTGTTCTAATTCTTATCCGGCTTTTGATTGTAAAACTTAACCTTCTGACCATGAATTCATTCTTTTATCTAGGTATAACAGGAAACCAACTACGACAACTTTGTTAACAGATGATAATAAGTTACGGATTTTAACGAAAGCCCGTTGAGCTCATTTCCGTATGCAAAATATATCGCCAAAGTTTTGCATTACATCGGAGAAGTCTATACAAATTAACCCTTCATGTTTTAAGCTTTTATTGTATTCTTTGCATCCACACTCAATTATATTTAATCAGACATTTAGATAAAATGAAACACTATGATCTAGGTGAATAAAAAAATGACCAGACACATATTTATCAACCTGCACAAAACTAACAGGCAATGAGAATAAATTTCTATGGCTCAGCATATGTCCTTTGATATTGTCTAAATACCTGCCAAATTTCTCATTGATATCTCAAGTTACAACTCAAAAATGATGCTAAAAATGTCAGGAGTGCAAAGCCTTTTTGTGTCATTTTGAAAATTCAATATTTTAATAGGATCTGTGAAATAAATTATCATGGTTTGGTTTAGAATAGAGACTTTCCTGAAAATATTTAAAGAATAGGCCTTTAAATGTAGACTGTAGCAACTTTTGATTGACCAAATTGTGATCATGGCTGATGCTGAAAAAATATTATACCATGTCAAGGGTGCAACAGAAAATAATGTAGTGTTGCCAAAAAACCCATTAATTTTAAAAAATCTGTATAACAATTAAGTCAAAAAAGAATTTTCAAAGTGTAAAACAATAACTGATATACTATTTAAAATTTTAAAATGTTATATAAATTAAAAGCACCATTTATGAGAGTCAAGTATATGTGCACACCCAATAATGGCAGGAGTGCAAAATTTGATGTTTTGCTCCCAAACATTGAAAAACTTTATCAGTATATGATTCTCTGATTTTTATTTTGGAAAATAAGTACACAAAGAAAATTTTTACCAAATAGATTTATCAATTACAGGGTCTGTCTGTGTTTCAGATCTATATTTCTATGGTCAGGAGTGCAACACATTTTTATAAAGATTCACGTTATATGATGAAAAAACTTCTATTCATACTAATAAATATTCTTTAATCAATAATGATCTATTTGAATAATTTAGTTCTAAATTATTGACAGTTTAATTATTAAAATATGTCTCTTTTACAATTTTTATCAATCAAGAGGAGTTTTTATCTTTTCGTTCAATTGTTTGTATGAATGTAAAATAAAACACACGCACACTGAAAAACTGTTATAAAATTCAAATAATTCCACCTAAACGTCACTGAAACAACAGAACATATGTTTTGATATAATTTATGCTTCACAATTATTCTTTAAAGACTTGCATGCTTTTGGTCAGGAGTGCAACGAAAATGTTAGAATTATTGCTGATCAAATATGAATAAATATAAAGGAAAAAAAATCCATAATTGGTTAATAATATAAAATACATGAACCTACAAAGGGGTCTGTAAGCTACATGTTCACCTGAACATTTAATGCTCATTTGCTAAATAAATATTTATTTATATTATAGAAATAAAGAATAAGAGAAAATAAACAGGTACGACAGAGTAATTACATATAGAATAAGAGAAAATACACAGGTACGACAGAGATTACATGTAGAGTAAGAGAAAAGAGATTACATGTAGAATAAGAGAAAATACACAGGTACGACAGAGATTACATGTAGAATAAGAGAAAAGAGATTACATGTAGAATAAGAGAAAATACACAGGTACGACAGAGATTACATGTAGAATAAGAGAAAAGAGATTACATGTAGAATAAGAGAAAATACACAGGTACGACAGAGATTACATGTAGAATAAGAGAAGAGATTACATGTAGAATAAGAGAAAATACACAGGTACGACAGAGATTACATGTAGAATAAGAGAAAAGAGATTACATGTAGAATAAGAGAAAATACACAGGTACGAAAGAGATTACATGTAGAGTAAGAGAAAAGAGATTACATATAGAATAAGAGAAAATCCACAGGTACGACAGAGATTACATGTAGAATAAGAGAAAAGAGATTACATGTAGAATAAATGAAAATACACAGGTACGACAGAGATTACATGTAGAATAAGAGAAAAGATTACATGTAGAATAAGAGAAAATACACAGGTACAACAGAGATTACATGTAAAATAAGATAAAAGAGATTACATGTAGAATAAGAGAAAATACTCAGGTACGACAGAGATTACATGTAGAATAAGAAAAAAGAGATTACATGTAGAATAAGAGAAAATACACAGGTACGACAGAGATTACATGTAGAATAAGAGAAAAGAGATTACATGTAGAATAAGAGAAAATCCACAGGTACGACAGAGATTACATGTAGAATAAGAGAAAAGAGATTACATGTAGAATAAGAGAAAATACACAGGTACGACAGAGATTACATGTAGAATAAGTATTACGTGTAGGTAAAACTGTCTGTAGACAGCATCCAGTTTCATATAGTGTGACACTTAAAGAACATTGACCTCTACATATCCAAATAGATCTTTTCCTATATGGCACATTTCACGTTATTTTGCCAAACTTTTGATAATGTTTTGAGTTACAACACCACAACAAATAAAGAAAAATAGCTTAATATGCTCTCGTAGATTAAAACTATTGAAACATTTTTATTTTATTTCGTTCTTACTGTTACGTCCATGACGATGCCCTTGGAGGGAAGTTGAACATTGTGTACATAAGGTTCAGATACTCCGTATGTTGTCAAACCAGCGACATTTTCTGCCTTAACAGTGACATAATATGTATGGTTACCATGAAGACCCCATTCCACTTCGGATATATTAATGGCTGTGCATGTGGGTGGTACTGTCAGTTTACAAACGTCCCCACCTTTAAGTTGTACATACCTGTGTACTTCTGCACCTTTAGGGTGATGTCCTGTCAAAAGTGTAAAAATGTAAAAATCATAGAATAAAACATAACGTTCACTTAACATATCAAAATTTAATACGGAAACTTCATCTTTTAAAGTATGTATGTCCTGACCAAGTGCGTATTCAAAACTTAAAGGAAATGGATCTTCCGAATCCTCAAATGCGCCTGCGTCCCAAGATGCAATCAGGTGTCCATTGGAATGAATGACTTTAATAGCAGGAGTAAAAATAGGCCCAGTTACATCAACGTAACAAGGACCGACAAACTGAAAAAAGACGGTTTAAACACATTAGTAGTATTACTGTAGATCAGTTTATTTTCGCGACACCTTATTTTTGTGCGATAGCTAATTGCTATTTATTAGCGAGACAAAATTTTCGCGATCTATGGTTCTTGTTGTATATAATTCTTAAAAATACAAATATACGCGAGAATAAAATTTTCGGGAGCAGACAGACTCGCGTAATTACGCTAAAATAAAGTTCTCGCGAATAAAAAGTAATTTACTGTATTTCAAGGAATTCTTACTCAATACTAGTAGTATTCATCCTTGTTAAATCTTATTTTTTTCAAAGTTAATTTAGAAATACCCACACTTTATATAATTAAAATTTACCTGTAATCCTTCAACATTTGCTTTACTGATAGACTTGATTACAATGTAGAAAGGCGTTCCCTCTGGTATGTCTGTATGCATGATGTGGATACGCCGGTGTTGTTTGGTGGATCTGAAAGCCATGATGTCAGGGGCAGAACTTCCGGATGTTGACGAGAAGCCAACTTCATAGTCATGTACGCTTGTGTTGTCAGCAGACCAAGTCATTGTAATCTAAAATTAAAATTGTGCTCACTATTAAAATTCCTTATTTTAAGATTAGATTCGTGCTTTTATATATTTTATGTTAATATTTGTAAGTCATACATGAGATGATTTAGCTAATATTGGACTCAAAATGCTTGGTGCCCCAGTGGTATTAAGGCAGAAGATATTGCCAAGTACTTCCACATATGATCCATTCTTCTCATATAAAGCTGGAAACAACTCTAGTTCAGACACTATTGTTGCTTTATTTCTAAAACGAGAAATAAACAATTACCAGCTATGCTATACGCAAGTTTTGTGGACCTTAATTAGTCCAGTATTTTAGAGGGAAATACTATTTTGATTTCATTGTATCCAAAGGTAAAGTTTCATTAAAATTCATCAAAATAATACGCACAAACAATCCGATGTAGGATTCTTGACTAATTTTCGATATCGGTTCTGTTCCAAAATCCAAAATGTGGATTTCTTGTTGTCCGTTATCAATCCCCCTTTAACGTATGCTCCAGATATTGCTAATTCCGTTACTTTAGGGACTGTCGATGTAACAGTTACCCCGTCCGAGCAAACTGGCCTAGATGGTTCTAGGGCTCTGTTGTAGGCTACCACACATACGTAATATGTTCCTTCCGATAATACTTTGTGAGATGCATCTGTAGAGTACGTCTCATTCAGCTTGAATTTAAAGAACAATTTAAATACACTATGCTGTTTTTGAGACAAATTCCTTTTTTCATGTGGAAACGTGAATATGAAAATAATCATAAAAACATACTAATAAATTTCCAGAATCCAGCAGAAAGTCATCAGATCCCAAGGGGGCAGTATGAAAGCCATACTTGTAAAATAGAACGCCACTTTCTCTGTCAAAGAATCCATCCCAGTGAGCTTGTAGGGTGGTACTTTGTTGAAAATCTACTTCAGGCGTACCTCTTACGCCATCTTGTGCTATACCAGTGTGTGGAGGTGAAGTATCTATAGTGATCTGGTTAAAATGTGAAATTTGTTTTATTTTACAAGAATCATATTTATTCATTCATTTTACTATATATTACTGAATCATTGATGACATAGCAATGTCAGATTTAAGAAATGAATGTTTAAGACTGGTTTCTATTCCTTTCCATTTTTCTTCTTTTTAAATCCATTTTTTGAATGCTTATCAGAAAGGAATATATTATTATCATATTTCATACACTACTTGACCAACATTATTCATTTTTTAGACATTGTTGGGAAATATTTTCGTTATTTTAACATAATATTATGAGGTTGTAATGTCATATACAAACGGCATTCAATGGGTGTTAAATATCGGTGGTCGGAGCAACACATTTTTTTTCCACTTTTTAAAAATAATATTATTAGCATGTTTCTTTTATATCCAGATTATACGAAAATATATATAAATATATACAAAATTTACATCAGCAAAAATTCTATCATCTGGAGTGCTAATGTGTTAAAACACATAATTTGACATCATAAATGGTACCGGTATTTAAATGACATAGTATACACAAACTTTCCGCTAGATATTGTCAAACACGTCGTGTGAGAATTCGGCGTACCAAATTATCATTCGATATTTTGTTGAACTGGGTATAACTCCTATCAATATGGGAAAGAAATGAAAACGATAGAAACGACATAAATGTGTCTAGGACACTGGTTTATACTTGGCGAAAGAGTTTGAAGGATAACTGGACTAGTTATCAGATGGAAGAGGCCCTTGCTAGACCAACAAAAATGACAAAAGCTAGGAAGTCATTAGCTGGACGTCATACATAGAGATTAATGTTTAGGCCCTCAAGAAGTTGGGATCATAATCGAGGTTGGGAGAATTAATTTTGCGAGCTTTTGACGAATTAAGTATGTGCAATATGGTCATCTCGGTTACTAATCTGAAAATCAAATGTAGGGTCGAATTTTTTAAACTTCTAAAGAAAAAGACTCACCTTCGCAAACGCCACAAACTATACTTTGACAACGACAGTGTTGTGCCGACATCTATTGTGTTAAATCCGTTAAACTTAGAAAAAAATATTACTTACAGAGATATTATTTTTTAAATCTCTATATAGTATTCAAAATATATTGATTATGATGAATGTCAATTTTTAGCTTTCTGTTTAAATGAGACAAAAAATATTGTATATGTTGGTAAATTTTAAACATGAGATTTGGTGCCGAGCGAAGTGAGGGACCAAATCGAATTGCGAGGGAAAAGTTTAACAACATACTTACATGCTTTACCAAGAAAAAAGAGAGATTAAATCCTTTGTCTCTTTCTATTTCGTCACATTTCTCACAACTCATCAAGAAAATGATGAGTTATTTTTGATTGGTGTCATTTTGTACAGGCCAAGATGTGATAATTTATATACCCTCAGGGCTTTATCTACCAGTCTATTACAGGTCAGGTGACGGTCCACAGTGAGTAGTTTTCAAACAGAATTAGGTTCATTTCTGCATATTCAAAATTTCTGTCCGAAGATAAGCATGTCTTTTGTAATGGAATTTAGTCAGGAGCTTAGGAGCTTTTTGGACATCAGCGAAAATTTATTTTTGGATGTAGATTAAGATTTATTGATTGTATGTTGTTTTACGTCCCATTTGAGACTTTTTCACTCACATAAACCGGCACCATATACCGGTGAAGGGCTTCAAATTTAGACCTTTACTCGGCACTCAGGGCCATTGAGCAGTGAGGGATCTTTATCGTGCCAACGCCTGCCGTGACACGGGGCCTCGGTTTTTAAGGTCTCTCCAAAGGACCTGCAACTTTCACTTCAAAGTGCAGAGCGCTTGGCGAAGGAGCAGTTGCTACCTAGTTTTTCTCGACTTAGGTCAGTCGCGGCCGAGATTCGAACTCACGACCTTCCGATCACGGAATTAATAATTATGCACACCTTGAGTCCGGAGTGTACCAAGTTATTTGGTAGCAGCAAAAACCTTTTGTTCGAGGTGTGAAACATGCACAAGCTAGCTTTTTCTGGGACAAGCTTGGGCTTTTATTACACGGACAGGAAGGTCAAAGGATTATAGTAATAAGGTTATTTAAAGTAACAATTTTATTTTGACGTCACAAATAGTGAACGTCTTACAAATGCAATGTCATGAATAGAAATTAAAATTCACGTTTCCTTTGAAGAGTAACATAAAAAATTCACAAAAAGTAGAAAATAACCTTCTTTGTCAAGGTCGTTGTCAGTAAAGCGTTGTTCGTAGCCCGAATTTCTAGAAAATAGTCCGAATCGTGCAATCCGTGGTCTTTTCCTTGTATCAATCCTCCGTGTAATTTAATGCGTGGGTGGACTTGGAAATGTTGATGGTAGGCACCCCAGTGGTTTGTCTCATAACAATTCGGCCCTCTGCTATATGAACTGTATTTTCTCTGACATTCTGTCAAGTTCTAACAAGTAAATGCGCATCTGATTCATCAGAATGTTAACAATTGACGATTTCTTTACCCAGTTTAGGATAAATGTCATGTACGTATTTACATAGTACCTTTGCTCCACCTTGTGAAGGTAAGTCCTCATGACCATGAATGATGTCCTTTCCTGTATAATTGTCATGCAACTTCCAATAAATACTTTTCAAACCACTGTGCAAATCAAATGCAAGCCACTCAATCCTGAAAATGATATAGCAATATGATTTGCAGTATATTGCGGCAATTAATACTATATTTTGGTCGAGCGTGCTAAAGTTTCAAATGTTGATCACCATATTTCTCATCGATTGGATGTTTGATTTCAAGTGTAGTGGTTTAGATTTTTATTTCATAGCCATCGTTTCGTAAATAATATTTTACAAGTATTTGCTGATATTTCAGTCAGATTATTCTATTTATCATTTGTTTTCAGTTGTTACTTACGTAAAACCCCTTTATTATTTGTCGTTTATAAGTTAGGACATGAGTTGACATTCCACATGTTTTACTTTTTAAACAGGAAGTGTCATCCATGTTGGCAGTCTTTCCGTAGTACTTTTGATAGCTGTGTTCTGATTGGTTAACTTAGCTTTAGGATCTTTGATAGTCATTGGTTTTTATTTTGGACCTTGTTAGGGTATTTAAACCCGTGTTCGAGCAGTTTACTTCACTTGGTTAGGGATAAGCCTCATGGCTCATTATCTCTGATTTTATGCCAACCTCAAGGTACACGGCATTATAGGTTTCATTTAGCACGTGCTGAGTGAGCACTTTATGATAGGTTAGGATGTAGGTTATTTAAAGTAAATTAAGTTTCCCTTCCCAAGTCCTGCCTGGTCTAGGGATATGTAGATAACAGGTTTATTTTCTAGAACCACTATTGATTATTTATTTTTGGGTGTTGATTATTTTCTGGGTCAGTTATTTTTAGAACCTAGAATTAGCATTGATATTTTCAGTTCCACTCTAGAGTGTTGATAGAAGTCATATTGGGTGATGTAGCTCATTCTTTTTACACTTTTCTAATTCATTCATTTTATAGGATTTTTGACAACTTTCATAAGTATGGAAGCCCAGTAGGGACATAAATTATTTTTCATAGTTTTTCCACATTCCTCCCATTTTCTATTACGTTTTTCAATTACTTATTTATTTACTGAGATTATTCATTGAGATTATTGTGAATCACCTACCAGATTAAATTACATTTTTGATAAAGCCCTGTTAATCCTGTGCAATTTTCAAAGACTTTTCTGTTTGTTAAATTTTGATCATTATTTATTATTTGTTATCATTTACAACGGTTAATTCTCACTTATTAAATTGATAAAACTTACAACTGTGTTTTCATTTAGCGTTGATCATAGTTCAGAAATCCCCTTACCTGGGTTGATCATTGATAACTGGAGATAGTTTACTCCTTTAAGCCAAGTTGGCTAGTGACTTTTGTAATTTATACACTAAAGAGTTCTACTTCCGGTTACACAAGGAAGTGAATACTACTTTGCATATGAAACAAAGAACCCAACAATACACTGATATTGTTATATTTTTAAAAATTGTTTCCTATATAATTTTATACTAAAAAAGTCTAACATTTCCGATGTTTAACTGAACGGTCATAAAAAAAATCGATGTTTGACCGCAGAGCGAGATACTGGACCTGTCGATGTGATGTTGGACCGCATACGTCACAGTGTGGGCGGGGTCAGCTGTGTCTTATTTGCATTCGTTGGAGTTTGACAGAACTTTACAGAATTGACCAAGTTTAAACCGCAGTGCGGGTAAACAAAATTTACATCATGTTATGTCAAAATAAAAAGTAAAAGGTATAACAAAACATTTATTGACTGTGTTCTCGGGCAAAATGCGTTTTGTCGACCCCTCGAACCAAACTGTTTGCCTTCCGCCTAACGGCCTCAGGCAAACAGTTTTTTTCTTGGGTCCGACAAAACGCATGTTGCCCTCGAATCCAGTCAATAAATTATAATGCTGACCAATCGCATCGAGTGATTGTTTACGAGTACGATATTTGTAGTAAACAGCAACACGTGGTTAGTCAGAGCTCATTGATAGCTTCTCTGTTCAAATGCAAAGTAGTATTCATTTCATTTTGTTTTGTATATTTAAGTTTTGAGCTTGCTCAATATTTGTAATTTCCACATCATACATATTAATATTTTAAATAAAATACTTTGACGTATAAATTACGTTAAATTCTTTCATTTAAGGGCTTCAGAGTACGTACGTCATTTTTGAAAAATCCTCTAGGCTGTGAACGCTAATATTTAATCTATCTCCTCGTGTTAACCATAAATTCTCGATTTCTGGAGGGGTAGCATCTCGATAAACAGTGACCGTTTCGTCCAGTGTTTTATTAAAAATGTCCACGGCACGAACAGTTATATCAGCTCTGTCACCGTCAGACCAGCGTAGGCTTAAATATTCAGATTCATCTTTAAGATTACGTACTGATGTAAAGTTTTTGAAATCCTTTACAACGCTGCCATCGTTTACGGTGTACGATACCAAAAAGTCCACACAGCCTGTCCAATAAAACTTATAATAAACAGTCCCGAGGAGGGTGTTAAAGCATATACTTTTATGTTAAATTCATTTAAACAACTAAATTCAAAACTAGTAATAAGATTGTTATCATCTACTATGACATTTCATTTTATCTTTATAATCAACAAACTTGAATTTCTAAACCTAAATACAATAATCTAGTTGCTCTTCTGATTCCCAAACTATATCCTTAATGATAAAGCTATGTCCTTTTCAGTATAAAAGTTTGAAAATTACAGCTTGTATTGCTATAGAAACAAGAGGCCCAGGGGCCACATCGCTCACCTGGCTAGGAAAAAGCAGAAATCTGTTCAGTATTAAAAAGTTTAAATATAAAAGTGGTTCGGGGCAGGGGGAGGGGTGTTTATGATTTGAACAAACTTGAATCTACACTTCCTAAGGATGCTTCTGAATAAATATGACAAATAATAGCTTTGCTGCTCTAAAGAAAATTTTTATTGATATATCCTTTATATTCCTTTGTATAACTATGATCCCCTGTTATGGGGGGTCATGATTTGAACAAATTTGAATCTACATTACCTGAGGATGCTATTATATTATTATGACCAATCATGGGTTTGCTTTTCTTGAGAAGAAGTTTTTTAAATATTTTTCCTAGGTACTCCTATGTTAAACTTTGATTGCCCATTGTGGCCCCACCCTACCCCCGGGGGTTATGATATGAACAAATTTGAATCTACACTACCTCAAAATAATTCCACATAAGTTTCATATTTTCAAGCAAAGTGGTTCTTGAGAAGAAGATTTTTAAATGATGCCATTAATTTTTCACGAATTCATAATTATCTCCCCTAGGTAAGTGTGGCCCTTCATTTGATTAAACTTGAATCCCCTTTACCCAAGGATACTTTTGGGCAAGTTTGGTTGAAATTGGCACAATGGTTCTTAAGAAGAAGATGAAAATGTGAAAAGTTTACGACGACAGACAACGGACAAATTTAGATCAGAAAAGCTCACTTGAGCCTTCGGCTCAGGTTTGCTAAAAATGAAATGTCTCTCAACAATTTGGAGACAATAAATTATACCATAAACATTTTGAATCTCGTCGATAGTTCGTCTTCCGTGGTGATCGTCATATGCGTTTTCAATGTTTGGATAGGAGGAAACAGTTCCAAGCCATCTGTTGTGCTCATGCCTTTCGTTTCTGAATCGCTCAGTCCATTTTGCCAATATAGTGTTGGTGGGTTTGCTTACCCAGACGTAATTTGTAGCAGCGGATGCTGTTTCAATTCTGGTAACTTTTGAAGGTATGAAAGACACATTGGATATGTTGTCATACAATACCAGTTTGCGAGATGTTTTGTGATTAGTCGCCTTATCAATTGCGGTAAAGTGTATTGCATACATTCCTGGTTCCTTAAATGTCACCTCAGCCTGAAACAAGAACTACTGGACATTACCCACTCCATAATCAGGGTGTTCTTACCGAAAAAATTAAAATATAAACATTTCCTACCAGGATGCATCCTCGCCTAAGTTAAAAGATTTGTGCGCATTACTTGAGGAAATGATTGCCTTAATAAGCATTGTTTTTCTTTTCAATCTTGCATTATTTAAAAGACTTCAATGACATTACCCATTGTTAGTTTACGAATTATATTTTAACTATTTTTACTATTCAATCAGCACTAGAAGCTCCAACTGTTCCTAATCTACTTAGCAGACATGGAATTACTGTTTAAACTGATGGAAAGAATAAAAGAAGTTAACTGAACGGAAATGAAGACGGAGCAATGGTTCACTCACGGTGGAATAATCAGGAATGAACCTGGAGCAATAGGATTTTATCCCAAGGAAGCATTGTCACACGAAATACACATGTGAATTATAAAAGCCCTAGCAACAACCATTTAAAATTATGGCCAAGGTTAGATTTTTTACTAGTGGGTCAAAGGTCGAGGTCAAAAGATAAAAATATTTAAACCCAAGGAAAGGTCTTGTCAAATGAAATACACAGGTGTAACATAAAAGCCCTAGCTCCAATCATTCAAAACTTAATTCAAAAGTTAAAGTTTCTGGAAAATGGGTCAAATTCCAAGGTCAAGGCCAAAAGTCCAAAAAAAAAAAAATTGTACTCAAGGAAAGGTCTTACCACAAGAAATACACAAGTGAAGTATGCAAGCCCTAGCACCAACTGTTCAAAAGTTATCGCCAAGGTTAAAGTTTGGTAAAATTTTGCAAAAGTGGGTCAAACTCCAAGGTCAACGTCAATGTCAAAAGATGAAATATGTTTGTACCCAAAGAAAGGTCTTGTCACAAGGAATACACATGTGAAATATGAAAGCCAAAGCTCCAACCTATAAAAAAAGTATAAGCAAAGTTCAAGTTTTTACGGACAGACATACGAACAGACAGGGGAAAAACTATTTGCCCCCGAATCTTCGATTACGGGGGCATAAAAAGTGATATTTTAAAAGACAATCTTACAAAGCTCATGTTTAGATAAAGTGTTCCAGTGGTGATCAATTTTTTTTCGTGTAAAGTCGTTCCCACGATACTCATTTCATACACTTCATATTCGTACTTCCATAACCCAGATAGATCATCATTCCATCCATCCCAAGTCATTGTAATTGTACTCTGAAATGAAAAAATTATGAAATGCAATACTGTATACAGTATTATTTTCGCCCTTTCACACTACCAAATAATTTTTCCTCGTTTTCAATTCGTCCAATCATAATTCTGTTTAAGAAATTATACTTTATTTTTTGAATTCGCCCACATGTGAGTAGGGCAAAAGGGGCGAAAATGAAACGGCTGCGAAAATTTCCCTGTACACGGTAAAAATATTTTTTAAAAATATTGAATCATGTTGCTGATGATTAAATATTATTTCATATGAGTGCAAAAATCTTGCAAAGGAAGTTAAACTACAATCAATCAATCGAGTTCAACTAGTGTTTTATTTCTATTGATTGATTGATTAAATATTGTTTTAGGTCCCATTCGAGAATTTTTTACTCATATAGAGACGTTACCATATACCGGTGAAGGGCTTCAAATTTAGACCTGTACTCTGCACTCAGGGCCATTGAGCAGTGAGAGTTCTCGTTTTTAAGGTCTCATCCGAAAGTCCCGTGACTTTCACTTTTAGTGCCGGGCGTTTGGCGAAGAAACAGTCACTATCTATGTTTAGGTCTTAGGTTTGACGCGGCGCGGCTCAGAGAACCGAAGCCGGGCCTCCCGATCACGAAGCGAACGCCCTATCACTAGGTTACCGTTATTCTGTTTCATTTCTACATATTGAATCACTGCCTCAGTCATTCATACACATAACATTTGGATATCAAAGTTTAATTTAAAATGCATGTGTGCCAATATTGACTTTAAATAACATTTTTTCAGGGGGGGGGGGGGGGGGAAGCAAGACTGTCCAATATTTCACGCTGTTGTTTGCCCTGAAATCATTTTAAATAAAAATAAAACTATCCTTTAGAATTTGAAATAAAGAATTCTTTAAATGTTTAAGATAGGCGTATATAATTAATATGGATGAAAATACGGTTAGTGGTTAAACACCTGCAACATGTGCTTAATTAAACATTGAGGCAAAAAACAGTATAAGGGAATTAATAATTGATGCAATAGAAATTGAACTTCATTGAAAATTGAGATAAGAAATCCTGGATAGCAATTTTCTAATTCCATTATCAGCTGATGAAAGGGTTTCAAAAAGCAGAGCTTCCCCTTGCATCATATGATTTCATTTAAAGTTTTCAAAGGTTTCTCAGACAGTGATTTTATTCAGTGTTCGCAAGTCATCATAAATACCAAACCTTGATTTTATAGAACTAAAACTAAGATTCTTTTCCTGTGCAGCACTTGTATCCACAACTTACGTAACATTTATCTCAGTTTTAGACCTTGAATTTTGTACTTTTGACTCCGATCATCATCTGCCACTTCTGATTAAATGATGTACATGTATCATGTCCAGAACATTGTTACAAACTTATTAACTTGATTGTGAACTCAATTACACAAACTTATGTTCAATAACTTAAAGATAAAACAATATATGATCTCGAGAACACCGTATACAGAATTAAATTCCGAAATAAATAGAATTGTAATAGTTTCAGGTGACACAAAAATGTAACCGTTCATGAAGTGATACAAGGTTTTTTTTTTTTTTTTGTTTGTTTGTCTGTTTGTTTGGTTTTTTTTTAAATCCTGAAATCTTTTCAATAGAAATATCCCCCAGAAAGTCAATTTTAACAGACATCAACCAAACTGTATATTACATGGCCAAAAATGCAAAATTACAGCATGGTACATTGTTGTAATTTTTTTTGTATAATGTCTCCTCGCCCGACTGAATTTAACAAAAGTATGCATTCAAACATCAGTTTTTTTAACTGATCAATAATTAATTCATAAATGCAACAATTACCTCTCACTCTCAGCTTTTGGGTTCTTGGGAGATTCTTGAATAAATATTTTCTATATGGCTTTGAATTAAAAAGCTGTGAAGGAAAATAACGGCGAAAAAAGTTGATTTACACTACAATAATATGCACCTTGAGTGAAGGGGTGAAGGAAATTAAATTAAAATGTTAAACTTTCTATTCAATAAAAACATACCTTTTCCGTGAGATCAGGAACGGTAAGAAACTGTGGACAATTTAATTTAGTTTTCATTGCAATACAGTGGTATGGTTTGATAGTATCCCAGCGGTACTTGTAGAAGTGAGTCTTTGTCGTGCCACGATAGGTGTATTTATCTTTCCTGTCGTAGTGTTCTCTGTCGATAATGACCACATACCCTCCGATAGAAGCCTCAGTAGCATATATTAACCTGTAAATGAAATTAAAATAAAGAATACATGATAATATATCTCTTCAAAGAGGATGCTGAATGAAGTCGTGATTTTCTCACAAGTTGGAGATTCCGGCTGTTGTATTTTAGTGACTGTAACGTGTATGTCAATTAATGTTGTTATCATTTGACCTCTTTCTATATAGTTTTTTTTCTGTACACCAGGGAAAGAATCCATTGTACCATTTAAGAACTATGTCAAAACGGTTGTTACGTCTATTAAATATTAATCAAACCAATTCTAAAAGGCGCTACAATTGTAATAAAAATGAATGAAAATAGAAAATATAAATATAATTTTTTGGATGTCGCCTCACTTTGGAGCCTTATATCCCTCGTAAGATTTGCTCTAGAGTGATACTTTCCCCTTGGGGTAGTCTCAATCTACAGCCATGTTTCCCCGTTGAGGTCCCGCTCTAGAGTGAATCCCCATCCCCATCAAGGTAAATTCTAAACTTGTCTACCCCGGAAGACTGATCTAGAGTGAGAGCAAATCGCTTACCTTGCACCTTGCCTAGAGAAAAGCAGAAATAAGTTCATAAATGAAAAGTTATATATATATATATATATATATATATATATATATATATATATATATATATATATATATATATATATATATATATTATATATATATATATGTGTGTGTGTGTATGTGTGTGTGTGTGTGTGAGGGTGTGTGTGTGTGTGGTCCCAACCTACCCCTCCCTCAGGGGGTTATGGTTTGAACAAACTTGAATCTACACTAATTGAGGATGCTTCCATATTTCTTTGACTAAATATAGCTTAAGAAGATTTTTAAAGATTTTCCCTATATATTTCTATGTAAAAGTTTGAAGTTCTATTAGAGCCCCCGTTTCGGAACCAAAAAAAACTGATTCTGAGAATGTTTCTATATGACTTGTCATGAGAAGAATATTTTGAAGATATTTCCTATATAGTGCCCTATGTATAACTTTAAACCCCTGTTGTAGCCCCATCCTACCCCCAGGGGTCATGATTTGATCAAACTTGAATCGACACTTTCTGAGAATGCTTCTCAATTAATATTACTGATCATGGCTTTGCTGTTCTTGAGAAGATTTATAAAGATATTTCCTTTATGTTCCGATGTATAACTTTGATCCCCTGCTGTGGCCTCACCCTATTCCCAGGGGTCATGATTTAAAGAAACTTGAATCTACACTAATGAAGCTTTCACTAAGTTTCGATATTTCTGGCCCAGTAATTTATGAGAAGATTTTTGAAAGATGTCATTTAATTTTCACTAATTCTATATATCTCCCCTTGAAAGAGGGCGCGGCCCTTCATTTGAACAAAATGAGTTCATTTCACCCAAGGATACTTTTTGGTAAGTTTGGTTAAAGTTGGTCCAGTGGTTCTGGAGAAGAAGATGAAAATGTGTAAAGTTAACGATGGCGACAACGACAGAAAACGGACAGATTTTGATCAGAAAAGTTCACTTGAGCGTTCGGCTCAGATGAGCTTAAAAGTGATGCGAAAACAAAACAGATGAAAACAAAAAAATCTAGCGCTACAACTACGCTAATAGACTCTATTTATTTACAGTTTTACATTTTTAATTTCGATGTTGAAAACTAATGCATCTCATCCCAACTAGCTGTCATCCCCCACGCACATTTAAAGGGCGTGACTAAGGGTCTAGCCACCAGAATTCGTCGCATCTGTTGATTCCCTGCTTTGTATCAGGAACAGAGCAATCTCCTAAAGTACCATTTATGCAAGAGAGTTACAAAGCCCATTCAGTACAAACTGCTTTTGATGAGATGGCAGGACAAAACAGACAAAACATTTTACACTACAATAAGAAAGACAATAGCAGCAGGGTCACTCTGGTAACCACGTATCATCCCGTCTTTAAGATCCTCGGCCGTATTCTTAAAAAGAACCTGTCAATTGTTCACTCCAATAAAAGAATGGCAGAGGTTCTTTAAAGAACCTCCATTGGCTGTCTGTAAGCGCCCGAGGAACTTAAAAGATAAGGAAGTAAGAACCAGATTGGACAACCCATAAACGGGGGGTTTAAAACTTGCTCTGACAGAGGATGTCGAAGAAACTCAATGTACCAGTCGGGGAAAATAACAACCTTGAAGGTCACAAATTGGAGGACATGACAGTAGTGGTTATTGACCATAACCCCAAATGGGCCGATGCTAAAGAAAAGTTCTGAATGCACATGCTAAAGTCATTCTGCCCTGATAGTATTAACAAACTGAATGACTTCATCTGGATGAACTTGTCTAAGGCTATCGTGTTTGACAATACCAAGATTATTCTCTCCACATACCTTTTACTACCCAATTAATTCACATTATTATCTTTAAGGAGGTTGGATCCTGCCATCAAAAGTAATGAGAATTTTTTATCAAGTATATTTTTAGAATTTATACACATAGCTTAATTAAAAATCAAAACAAAAAACGGGGGTCAATGCGCTTCTTTTGGCGCTATAGAGCATTTAGTTTGACCTTTTTGCACTGTAAATACGTCTTACACATAAATCAATTTTTAAAGTCTTTCCTCCAATATTTTTTTATTCAAATAAATTATTGGAACAAACACAGTCTTATTTCGTCTGGAATAGACACATTAAAATTTGTGACAACGAAAATTTTTTTTCAAATTACTCCGCATGTTCAATTATTTGACCTTTTTGCACTCAAAAAATTTCATTTTTCTGGTATTAAAAATTTAACAAGCAAAAATATCATTTGAAAGTAATGACATTTTACTGAATTTAAGAAGAATAGTTAAAAGTATCTTATATATTCAGAAAATAAAATAAAAAGTGGGGGTCTGTGATGTTAATATTTAGATATTACTAAAATAGTGCTAATTTTAAGCTGAAAATGGGGATTTTTTTTTTTTGACTTTCACAATATATTTGCTATATTTATCAAATATGATGATAGAATTCATGACAGTTTATTTAATATATAATTTAGGACCAGTATAAAACAGTTCACTGCACAAAATACCTCTGTGTGCAGACTGCATGGAAAAATAGGAATTCAAACTTAACATACTTTAAATACTTGGAAAGAGAAAAAATGATCATTTTCTTCTAAAAAACCTTCCGCCACAAAATATAGTTCCTCGCTTTATTCTTTTGGTATGGAATTTAATCATGGAGTTTTAACTGAATATAGTTTAATTGGCATTGTAGAATCCAAAATTATTGTAAGAATGAAAACTTTACGCAGAATTTTTGAAATATAGGTTAAGATATAAATCTGCTCAAAAGCTCAGGAGCGTTAACTACACTATTTTTAATAATCTTCTAATTACTGTTATATCTTCCCTTTTCTAACACTGTTTCTTAATTAATACTAGTAGCGTAGTTGTAGTGCTAGATGTTTTTGTTTCCATCTGTTTTGTTTTCTCATGACTTTTTAACCTTTTCTGTGTCCTGAGGAAAGGACAGAGCGTTCCGAATATTGAACACTATTTAACTGTTCGTGTCGTTGGTCATTTTTAGTGCTTTATATGAATTTCCATCCGTGACCTTGTATCTGAGACAGTCGATAAGATAAAAATTTCCTCAACAAAATCTATCGACTTTCCATGCACTTTTAGAGAGTACATTAATTGTAAGTGCTTCACATTTTTTCGTCAGTTATAATGTCTGTCATAAATTACGTACCCATCAAATTAGTGGGCTTTCTTTTTAAAATTATAAATTGTTTTGATCATATACTGTGTACCAATTATATTTTGTTATTTTAATTTTAGGATTGCTCAAATCCAAGGAACACACCATAGCCGTGAAATGTTTTGACACTTCGATAATTATTAAAACAATTTGCTTACATTTTATGGACATTTTGATAGCAGGGGCAATCAATAATTGAATAAGCAGTATCTAGCTTTTTAACCTGATGTGTGGAACCCCCCCCCCCCCTTTATTTCATAATAAGCTTCAAGTTCTTTATTTCTTTGCGTCATACGACACATCAGATTACTAAACATGTATACAATATTATAAAATATAACAATATGAGAGTGAGCATAATCAATAAATAGCAAGTTAACTATGTAGGACGTGTTTTCTAACAGGCAACTGTAATCATAAAATACTTAAAAATTTACAAATGTTTCATTCTTCTAGTGGAAGCTTGATATAAATATTTTCCAAGGTTACAAAGTTCCTTTATATTTTGTACACTTAGAAGTTGAATTAATTTCCAAACACTGGATTTCTTATAATAATACTTTTTCAAATACTTAGATCTAAGGTCATGATAAAAAGGACATTGTAAAATAAAATGAAATTCGTCTTCGATAACATTTAAAGAGCACTTTTTACATAATCTGTTTTTTTCTAATTTCATTAACATATCTACCAGTTTCAACATTTAGATTATGTGCAGATAGTCTAATTCTAGCAATTTGTATTTTGTACATATAATTAATAGGTTTACGCAAGTAATATTGAATACCAAAATTATCAACCAAATGTTGGTATAGCGGGCTACGGGCATTGCTACAAATATTAGAAATCATAGTATGGTTATTCACCTCAAGGAATCTTTGTTTCACTAACATGTAAGTATTATCATTGAAATCTGCATCAAATATATAGCCAAGTCCCAGTTTATTAAGTTCATTTTGAATATCTCTGATCCAACTATCATTATTCCTTAATCTTTCTTCCAAGCATGATTTTAGCAGAATATTTTGTGTCCCCTTTAGTTTAAAAAAATATTTTATAATTTTCAATTTTCTAGATACCCTCATAGGCATTCTTCCAAGTTCGAAATACACAAGATTGTTACAGGCACTTTTTTTTAAACGAAGTAACTTTTTACAAAAGAGACTTTGTATTTTTTCTACATCTGGAGCTTTATGAAATCCCCACACCTCTGCTCCATAATTAAGAATACTACATACATACATTTCAAAAAGTGATATTTGAGTTTCGACATTAAAATCAAAGTTGCAGAATTTTTTGTTCAACG